TTAATTCACTGTTGCTAAATTTTCTGTGATTAAAAAAAATTAAACTTCACCTTCACATCTTTTTCCTCCTCCTTCAGCATATCTTCCAAATTGGTGGTTTTCTCAGTTATCTCCTTTAATTTTGTTTTTATTGTCTCATTATGATTTTTAGTTTTTTGTAACCTAAAGAGGGTTTATCACAAAAAGATAGAAAACATGCCTAAGAAGCATTTAATACAAAGAATAGTTTATCCTAATATTTATTTGTATAACTTGAAGATTCTTTGCTGTAAACCTTTTTATTACCACAATTTAATAGACCATAAAAATATGGCTTCTGAGTATTTGTGATGAAAATATGAGTAAAATTTTTTTAAGTTTAATAAGGTAGTAGCTAAAATCTTGCAGTCATTTAACCAAAAAATTGTCTTAAGTATTTAATAATTTTCCAGATACAGTAAATATAAAACATATTTAAATAGCTTTTTTCTTACCTTGCTGTTTCTTCATGAACATCCTTCTTTATCTTGGAAATATTTTTCCTCAGAGCTTCTAAATCACTGGAAGTTCTATTCACAGTGGCTTTTAAACAATCCAGCTATTTATTCGTTAACAGACAGAAATTACATATTTACTCTGTATTTTATAACTTCATTTCTTAGTTTTATTCTGCCCAAGTTCTAACCTACATCACACCCACAAAAATGTAGCCATTTTCTTATATTTAATATATAAACAGATTTCCATATTGGTCTGATATCAAATTTTAATTGTTTTTGTTGTATAATCATAGCAAATTATAGAGAACACATGTGTTGAAAGTAAATGCAGAAATCTGTCATTACACTAGAACTTCTCAGAAAAAACATTCCCAAACTCAAGATAAATGGATATATATGCACCCATAAGAATCACAAGTTTAGGCCGGGCGCGGTGGCTCAAGCCTGTAATCCCAGCACTTTGGGAGGCCGAGGCGGGTGGATCACGAGGTCAAGACTTGAGATCGAGACCATCCTGGTCAACATGGTGAAACCCCGTCTCTACTAAAACTACAAAAAATTAGCTGGGCATGGTGGTGCGTGCCTGTAATCCCAGCTACCCAGGAGGCTGAGGCAGGAGAATTGTCTGAACCCAGGAGGCGGAGGTTGCGGTGAGCCGAGATCGCGCCATTGCACTCCAGCCTGGGTAACATGAGTGAAACTCCGTCTC